TCCCCCTCTGGCTGTATACTGAAGCAGTGAGCTAAGCAACAGTTGTGTGCACTGGGCCGCTAACCAGCCTTAAACCTCGTCTCTAACGCTGCTGCTACCTGCTCTCTGTACCCTCAGCAAAGTGGCTCCTGAGAGCAGACAGCACGTGGTAATGCCAGAGCTGGTGCATGGTGATGCTTGCAAGAGTAAATTGTAAAAAAAAAAAAAAAGCTTTTGAATGTGAAGATGAGAAAATCATCTGTGTCCACCCTCATTACTCAAAACCACATTCATTCTAACCTAAATTCAATATTGAATTTCCAAAATGGCATAAAAAATGCGCGGGACTAGCGTTGAAGATATGACTATTTTATATTGTCTGTCAGGTTTTATTACTGAAAAGAAACACGGGAATTAAAAAAAAAAGCCTCGGCCAGGCTGAGAGAGCACCCAATTCATCAGAGATGATGTGAAAAGTCTGAATGAATTTTCTTTGCTGGTGCCAAACCTGCGGAGGAGGCTACGTGGGAGAGTCGGCCAGTGAGAGGTTGGAGGTTGATTACTTATTTCCATTTCTATTTCTAGGACAAAGAAATGGAAGGCTGATGGGTTGGGACATCTATTTAGATCCATTTCATTCCACCATAATCAGGCTTTAGCCATGCCCTAATACTAAGGATTAGAAAAGGTTCAAAGTGCAAACATCTAGATCCCCCAGTATTATTTCCAGTCTGCCAACCTCACTTTGTGTTTGTGTCTGTGGAAGAGTGTGTGTGAGTGTGTGCATGCATTCTTGCATGCATGCCAGATCTGCTGGGGTGGGTTATCTCTGGAATCAGGCGCATAAACCTAATCTAACCCTCTCTGTGCTTATTCAGGAGTGAAATATTTTGTGCAAATAGGCCCTCTTTTCCTTCTCACCACTTTGATTCTGGTTCGGTAATGTAAACAAAAGCCGAGATAGGAAAGTCGCAGGTATGAGAAATAGCCATTTCTGCTGTGACGCTCTGTTTGATGCAGACACTCATACCTGCCACAGCTGCGTTAGCTCCCTGCTTTTGCCTCAAATTGATGAAAAAGCTCTTTGTGCTGGTGTTTTTCCTTGATGCTAAGTGTAAATGATCAGATTGTGGTTGTGCCTGTTTATGTATTTAGCTTTTTTTTTGAAAATATAGACATTATTACTGGTGGTTACTGTGACTACCCAGTGCCTGCTCAGCTCGTCTAAGTGGAAGTCTGAATGCTGTAGAGAATGGAAGTGGGGGGGTGGGGAGTGTTGTCGGTGGTGTGTGTGAAAGGTAGCCAATGAATGTCACCTCTCATCCACTTTCTCATTAAACAACCTGCTCTCTGTCTGTCACATGGGCTCTATCCATCCCCTGGTTTGGTGCTTTGGGCAGATGTTGCACGCATAGACACACACACAGCAGCGTTACGCACACTCGCGGACACACAGCCCATTGCGCTGTATGAAAGCAAGCCCCCCCCCCGGGCTGGACAGGAATAATAAGCAGCAGATGATTCATGATAGAGATGGGGAATGTATTCAGCAGGACCACCTGAGTGACCTCATTTAGCAGACCTGAGAATAAATATAGACCACCGCTTCGCACTCTAGCCTTAGCTCGCGTTGTCTTGGCCAGTCAGTGGTGCGCCTCTCACACTTCTCCCACTCTTCTCTTCAGAGCACCTCGGGGAGCAGCCCTTCCACTCTACCCTGTATGTCCTTGTGAAGTCTGTGTGCACTGGTGTATTTGCAAGCGCCTACATTCACATATGCATGTTAATGGGTTATGCTTTAGGTAATGTGTGCAGTAGTTGTACGTGTGTAGCGTTGGAACGGGAGCCTTTCTTCCAGGCCAGCTCTTTTTAAAAAATTTTTCCCCCCGTAAGGCTTCTCCTTGGCCGATACATTCGTGCTGTCGATATTTCCCAACATCAACATTTGGCACCTGGTTTCTCTTATGACTTCAGCAGCTGTAGATCTTTTGTTCCCCCCACTAGTCACTCTGTGGCCAGTGATCCACACCCACAAAAAGGGCCTTAAATCATACAAAAGCCATTCTTTGGAGCCGACGGCTTTATTAAAAAAAAGCAACATTCCTTCATGCAATGACCAGCTCTTTCTGTATTCTGAACCGCTGCACTCTGAAACAGTTTGTTCCCCCAAATCATTAGCAGCAGACTGGGAGTTTCTTTGTTCTTCATGCTGTCGTTCCTTTATCCCCATGTGTTTTTATCTCTGCCCGAGACACACGGGAAGACCCAATTTCCCAGTTTCCTCTTTCCAAAATGCGACACGACCGTCGGCCTTTTAATATCTGAAAATCCAGATTTGGATTAGCGTCAGTATGCGAGGGATGAAATGAAAGAGAGGGAGGGTTAAAGAGGGGAGGACAAATTGAGTGAGAGGAAGAAGTGATAGAATGAGCGAAAGGCTTTTAGATTTAAAGAGGAGGAAGCTGGCAGTATGTCTTTATTTGCAGAGTAAGGTTGGGGGTTCTGAGAAACATGGCTGGCAGGTTTTTTTCCTCTGATCTTTGACATGATAGATGTGAATGCACCGATATCAGGCAACACAGGAATGCACGTTTCTTAACGGTGTGCGAGTTTCGAGATTTAGTGCAGGTTTTTAAATGCGCTCAACAGTTGTCTCTTTAGTTGATTTCCATCTTGAATAATACTTAAAAATGATTCACATAAGGAAATGTGGTTAAAATTGGACACATTTAATCGGATTATGAATTTCCACTGGTACAGTAAAGGGCTGAATTATTTGACTTTTAAATGGCCTGAATGCAAACAACATATAAAGCAATCATCTCTTTATAAATCCTGCTCTGTTTTCAGTCTCAGTTGTTTGGCTAAACAGAGGCCCCAGAGGGGCAACTTATCATTATGCCACATCAGTACTGCACAGGCCCGTTCAGCCAGCCTGAAGGAATAGTTAATTTAGATGACAGGAGTAAGTTAACACTGAGTAGATTTGCTCTCCTGGAGAGGATATAAAATTCATAGCATGAAGCTCACTGTTAGTCAGATTATTCAAGCGCCTTTGAGCTTGATCTTCAAAGAGCTCATTTTTTTGTATAACCTTGCCCTGGAAATTTAAAAATTGAACGAAGAGAAGAAATTGGGTGGAAAATGGCAGGATGAGGTTAGCACTTGTGGCAGCGTCTGGGCCATTCGGGGGTGCGCCTTCAAAACTGGAAACAGGCCTGTTCACCTCACTGTCTTTGAATGTTCCCTTTAGAAGAGACACAGTCCCTGTGTAGACTTTACATAAATCATAAGACTCACTTAGTCGTGAGTGTTCTTTCACATTAATGCCCCACGAAAATTTCAAGTCTCTCTCGCTCTTATTTTTTTTCTGGTCCTGCGCAGCGCCGGGCTCCTCTGGCCCCCTCGTATATATTTCGGTGTCCGGTTCACTCAGTCGTGTTGAGTCTACAGCGAGGGGGAATTTGCCAAATAGCCCCTGACATGATGTTATCACAATCATTCTCGCAAATTATCGAGTTCTCCGGCCACGCTGACAAAATGTTGTGGTTCTCGTTGTAAATTTGCCGCCGACTCTTGAGTGCGATCTGATAATGTAGCATAATATTAGTGCAATTCATTATTTGGTTTTCTTCAATTTTGCCGAAGCACAAAGCTGAAATCCCACAGGGCAACAAAATGTCAACATTAATAACACTTAGGAGTGATGGGACATGAATCAGCTAGATGAGCTTTTACGTCGCTCCGGAGCCAAATTTCAACACAGAGCGATACAACATCAGTTTCTAGCAGGGGAACGCGTGTAGAAACACTGATGCACCGTGCCAGCCGTGTTTGTAGTGCATTGTTTGGACCCACCCAACTCCCCTGCCTGTTGCCAAGTCTGCTTCTCTTTGTGTCATCATTAGATAAGCAGCCTCTCCAAGACTATCTCATCATAATGAGGGTGCCATCTGAGGCAATCACCCAGGGAGATGGTCATTGAGTTAAGAGGGAGGGAAGGGGAGGGGTAGAGCCAGATAGTGCTGATAAAAAAAGAAGACTAAAAAAAAACCTAAATGAAGTGAGCGGAGGGGAAAAAAAGCAGGGAAAGAGAGAGCAAGACGGATAATGCGAGGAAGAGAAACAAAAGCATTTCAGAGGAAGGGAGTGAGTTGAAACGGCAGACTAAGCGGAGATGGAGATCATTTGGGGAATTCCAAAATTAGAGCTGCCATCATATGCACCCACACAGGCGCATGCCCACACACACACACACTCGAGCACGCATACAGCCGTGTGCTTAGCTGCCCAGTGTTAAGGTCAGAGTCACACTCTGTCTCCCTAGGTCATTATCATGGGCCCTAAAATAGACGGCCAATTGTATCGCGGTGTCTGAAGTGAATGTGACATTGAATAAACAGCCCTCAACCCTGAGCTCCTCGCTCAACTTAGGGAACGAGCGTGCGCTTTGAAACAAATGCAGAGAGGCTGACACGCACACATGCACCAATATAAAAATGGACACACACACACACTGAGGGAGGCATTTAGCTCGCTGCAATACCAGCAAGTAGTGACACATGTGGCTCAGAGGGAGTAAGCTGCTGGAGGAGTTGGCAAGCAGCTGGAAGTCTTGCTGGCATGCCTCACTGCTAAACTATGCACAAGTAGAAACACACACACACGCAGGTTTGACCATGTTTCTTCTCTTCACCTCAGCACCCACCTCCCTCAGTAGACTCTAATGTTGTTCCATTCATTTGACTTCACTTTATTGTGTTAATGAGACACACCGTTGAGAGAAGCCGGCGGTTGATTGAGGATGAGAACGGCTAATCACTGGAACAGCTAATCAGTGCTTGTCGTAAATATTGATTAGTTCTGTGCGTTATGGACGTGCTCATTAACCGGTGTGTCATCTTCTCTCCCCCCCACCCCCCCACTTCTCTCTTCTTTACCCTCCATCAACGTCCTCCCACTTCTTCTCATTCTCTCTCCCTCTCTTTTTTCCCCCCCACTTTCTCCTTCTTACCCTCCAGCAACCTCCAACGGTACAGTCGAGGGCCTCGAGAACCGGGAGGGAGGCGTGTGCAAGAGCCGAGCCATGAAAGTCATCATGAAAGTCGGGCAAGGTAAATGTGCGCTCACCTCACATGTAGAACACAATACAGCGCTTCTGCCTCAAAGCGATGTTTCACTTTGGTGTGACATTTTCATTTAACGCCGTGCGTTACTAGTGTGACACGACTGCCTCCGGCCTCCGACCAGACCTGGTCTGCGGAGCTGTTAAGTTACGCTAGAAAATAGATTGGCCACCAAGGTTAATATTATTGTCATTTTTTTATTTGACTTCTTTGAGGGCAGTACCTAATTTATTGAATTTGAGCGACGTGGCGATGATGGGACTCGATAAAATGTTGACATCTAAACGAGCTGCTCCAGATAAAATGAAATTAACATTTACAAACTAGATTTGGACTTTTCTGTGTATAATGAGGAAAAGATGATCTGATATTAACCTGTTATTATTTTTTTGTGTTTATTATTCTAAAATATTTAAGAAAAAAATCAAAATAGTATTGTTAAAGCAGTATTTTGTGGTAGTTTAGAAAAAAATATAGTTGTAAAAGAAGATAATAAAAACACGGTGAGATCATCAATATGAACAATTTTCTAAAAAAACCCAAAAAACTTACCAAATAGTAAAAAAAAAAAAAAAAAAGATATTTAGGCTAATTAAGTACAAATTGTTTACAGTTATGCTGAAAGTTAATTCCAGTCGTTTTCAAATTTCATTCAAACATGTTAAACTTTGAATTAATCTTGACCTTGGAAATAATTATTTGATACTTTCTTTCGTATCTTGTAGCTTTTATCAGAAGAAGTGTTGTATTTTATTATATTTCATCAGTTATTTGATGAGCAGTTATGGAAGCTTTGCATGTGAAGTCGTTTGTAGCTTTCAATTAATTGTTACAAAATTGTGTATTTTTTAAACACAATTTAAGAAAACGTTTAATTATTACAAAAAAATAAATTCCAGTTTTAGGCATCACTTTAAAATCAGTAGCTATTGATTCATTTTGGACTGTAGGGCAGGCTGAAATACTGCAGTTATTACCCCTTTGATATCTGTGTTGCATTACATAGTTACAGGCAATATTGTAAATCAATAACTAGGACTACTTTATAGATTACACTATTGAATTTTCAGGATTTGTGCGTCACTGACCTGATTTGCCACCCATTGAATTCCTGTCATCATTTTCACTTGAACAGAGCAAAAAAAAAAAAAAAAGAAAGAAAGCACTACCTCAATATAGATTGTCATTAGCATATAAAGTTACATTTACCCTAATGGTTGATTTTATCCATTAGCTCATCTCTACACTCGTACACTAGTTTTGAATACATCTTAAATATCCACAAACAGTTTTTGCACAGTGTGGAAAATGAGATCCCGGAGGAATAACAACCAAATGAGAAACATCTATGAGGAATGACTCCAGTTCCAAATTGTAAAAAAAGGCCTCTGATGTTCCTCGGCTGTGATTCTTATACAGTAATCACAGAACGAAAATGTGTTTGAAATTGGTATGTAAGTGCACGGTCGGGGCAAGTCATCTAAAAATGCTAGAAGTAAACAAGCTCACTTTGTTTGGATATCTTTGGTCGCAACATTTGGTTTGCATCATACATTTCACTTTTATACGCAGTTTTACTTGATATGTGGACATCCATATCCTGAGTTTGACAGAATACAGTACACAGATGTGTTACTCTGTAAACATTTCCCCAATCCTCAGTTTGGTTGTTTTGACCGAAAGAGACACTAACCACCATCTGAGAGGAACATCTGCCTGCCACAGTGATCTGATTCCAGCTTAAAAGCTCGATCCCAACATCCCGTCAAAAATAAACTCGCTCAGTCTCGCTGAGAAATCTCCAGTGTGTGTGTGTGTGTGTGTGTGTGTGTGTGTGTGTGTGTGTGTGTGTGTGTGTGTGTGTGTGTGTGTGTGTGTCCGCAAATTTGTGTGCAGATATTTGAATTCTGGCTTGCGAGATGACAGCAGCATATCCTGGCAGCCAGAGAAAGAGAGAGAGAGAGAATAGAAGCTAACAAGCTGCTGATGCTAGCAAGGTCTGAGTGGGAACAAATTCAGCAAATACAGTGAAAAATACCCACAGCAATCTCACAAGGAGACAGCCGTTGCATTATCTTTCCATGTAGGTCAATTTGAGCATCCAATAGCCTGGGATTGCAATCCCCTCGCAGAATGACAACACGGATGCATGAGTGCGGGGTTTTACGCCACGCTATTAACTGGGGGGAAACAATTTCATCGTTTAACGTTAATCAAAGTTGAAAGGAAATGTCCTTTTCGAGGAAAGTTCGAGGAAAGTTTGTCTCAGCTGGAGTGTGTTCCTGTACCTCCTGGCTGTTCCTCAACTTCGCCAGAGCGATGCGCTCATTTTCCAAAATGGTCCATAGCGAGCTGTCACTCACAATCAATGTGCCCTAAAAACCTTGATAGAAAAGATGCTGTTGGCCCTGCTGCTACTACTTTTAAATCTATTTCTGCGGGCGGAACTTTTGATGTATAATGTTCCCGTCCAACCCAGTAACTATTTGAAGAAGGTCCTCGAGAAATTAGAGCGTTGACAGGAACTTTGATTTTGCTGCTGTGTACTTTTTCACATTATTATTCTTTTTTCACTAAAGCCAGATGTATCTGTCTACCTGATATATATATATATATATATATAATGTGCATACTCTGCAGTGTTAACTTTAAGATATTACCTTCACCATCTGTAATCCAGCGAACAATTATTAGTGCTGAATACTGGAGTATATTCAGCTAATAACACACCACTTTATCCATATCGACAGGCTTTAACATAAATTCATGGACTTGGAATTAAATTACTAAAGAAATCAGTTTTTAAATTAATACACAAATTGAATACATTTGGCTCAGAGATTGATCTACTCCATGGTTAAATGTAATTTCTGCAGTATCTTGACATTTAAATGACTCAGCTTTAAAATCTTCAGTGGACTAATCATTACAGAAAGCAGGCCTTATTTACACTCCTATACTCGTATCTTCTGCAGTCACATAAGGCTTTGCTTTAGCAAACGCTAAAACCTGGGCTCCGCTTGCTTCTGACCCCAGATGCTGCCGTGTTTGACTGTTTGCTTCACATTCCCTGCGTATCTGTAGCTCGAATGCCAGCTCCTCCTCTTGCCAGATCCCCAAGATCTTCCCATATGTCCCCTTGTACTCCTTTTGCACTTTCACCACGATTGTATTCTGGTGACTCACTCCACTGTGAGATATGTGCACATTCTTCTAATGCTACATTTGCATTGCATTTCCATTTCACTGTGACAACACGTCTTGGCAGAGTCACGTCGAGTCATCCGTCTCTGACACATTGATATTTAATTGTTTTTTAAATGCCTCGCATTCTTTCCTTTGTCTTCAAAAAGAAGAGAAGCCGAGTGGAGGGGGGGGGGGGCGTTCGAGGGTAAGCAGGAAGCCTATTTTTTTATACCTACACTGCTGTTCAGCACGCTCTTATCCCCTCCGCTACACTCGTGTCACTCATGTGCTCATTAGAAATGTGTTGACTCACCGCCTCGATCGCATCTCCCCCTCATGTTTTCTCTCCCTCTCTTCTTCTCTCCCCAGCAAAATCTGTCTTTCCCTTCTATCGCTCCATCATTGTCTCCCTCACTCACTCGCGTTCTCCTCCTCGTCCCCCACCTTCCTCCTCCTTCTGGTGGGTTGGCAGTTCTGAGGTAGTTGCTGTCTGCATAGCTAAGGGAAATGTCAGCAGTACACGCTCGAAAAATGGGTCAGAACGTTAGAACACTCCCTGCACATGCTCAGTGGTTGACACAGTGTTGTGGCTATATTCATGGAGTGAATCAGATCACTGTGTCCTCTCATATCCTCTGCCATGCGTGAATGTTCCCACTTCTCACTCCTGTCTTTCCTCATCAATTATTGACAGCGCACAACAGCTCACGCCTAAGGTTCACCACCGCTGCAATCAGTAAGCAGCGATGGGCTGGTGTGGACATGGAGAACATGGGGGAACAGTGCGGTTTATGCTCCAAAAAACAGAAGAAGAAGAAAACGAATTAATGCTCTCATATTTCTTTCCTCCTTTGTTTTCCTTTTTCTTCTATCATATCTGCCAGACGCCCCCCAAAACCACCACCTCCCCCTGCACTCCCCACGCTGATCATTCTCTAGTTTGATTTGGCCAAGCTGGGGTGGAAATAGGAAGTACACGCCTAGACTGAAAGGCTCTTTTCACTCACACACACACACACACACACACAAACTTGCCATGGGGGACTCGAATGTAAATTGCCTCCTCACACGCCCTCCTCTCTATTTCGCACACACGCCCCTTGAACAGCCCTTTGGGCAGATGCAGATAAGGCCTGATAGAGAAGAAGCATCTGATAGTGTACTGTGGCATCCATCTGGCTGGCTACGGTAATAGCTTATAACTGTCTTCTGTCTGCCGACCCTGCCCTTGTAAAAACCACGCTGTGGACCCACCAGTGTTTACTGCACAAAGACTTCAAAGTGTGTTGGCTGAGATCACAACAGACAGAGAGATAAACTGTCTCTTTCCTTTGCGCCTCACCTCAAAGCTTATGCAATCCCTTCCTCTCCTTGTCTCCCCCATTTTCTTTCCTGTCCTTCTATTCTCTTCTCCTCAGAAGTCTGCCTCTTTCTGGCAGAGTTAAAGCCGAAGCAATAAATAAGGCATATTATGGCCTTTTAACGTGATGAATAATGTAAAACAATAAAAAGTTAATATATAACTACTTTACCCTCATTCTGCCATGCCTAAGTGTATTGTAAGTATATTGTAGGTGTGTGCATTGGTGTGTGCGCATGGCGGTGTGTGTGTGTGTCTCATGAATGTGTCAGTGTTGGAAATGGCTGTCTGAGTGTTTGCTGAAGGAGCTGCTGATGTAGATGTGAGCTCGTTTTTTTGGGTTTTTTACAGCAGGACAGGGATGTTGGCGTGTTTCACAGACGCTCGCTAACTTGTCCTTCCTCTTTTTTGTGCTTTCATCTTTGCCTGTGAAACACTTTCAACACACGCAAAGATAACCTTCTCCCAACACAAAAGATATATCAAAAGATAATAAAAGTAATCCGTGGCGTCGCAGAGAACAAGTCATTGTAATTCAGCATATGCAGCTCGTCAAGGCTAAGTTTTTCTGTGTGCGTTTTATTTCCTACAGTTCCAAATGCAAACCCTGCCGTGCCGGAGGTTCCAGGCAACACCATACCCGAGTCCAGTCCCAGTCTGCCTGACCAGGATCGGCCGGGAGCAGAGATACCAGGAAACACTGGTGAGCAGACTGACTGATATTATTACCATAAACTGCAGCTTAACACTTCATTAAAAATGCTTTCTAGTTTCTCGAGTGCAAATATTTTAGTAAAATAAAGGTTTGTGAAATGTAAAAGAAAAAAAAAGTAGAGAGGGAGAGAATATTCACAGCCTCCAGGCTTCTTCATAATTAGTCACATTTAGCCTCAAAAGAGAAAGTAAAAAATGAAGTCTGAATTCTCTCATATGGATTTTTCACCCCTCCAGCAGTCCTTTGATTTTGGGGGTCAGCATGCTAACATACTTGTAAAATCACAGGTAATAAAACTCCCCAAAAGTACAGGTGCAGTCCAACAACATGAAACGCCACCGTAAAACAAATACAGCTCACTTTACTTATTCATGCTGTACACACAGGGTGTACTGCACCCAAGGAGACTCAAAGACACACTTTTTTTTATTATATATCTTTTTAAACCTCATTAGAATTGCAGATAAATGAAGATTAGAGGCAGCGATAATTGAAGAAGTCACATGAGCCTCCTCGGATGCTCTGGGCCCTCCTTGTTTCCTGTTTTTACCAGCACCTTTCATAGCTGCTTCCCACAGGAGGGACCGCTTTCTTTTTCTTTTTTTGATCACTCCCCGTGCTAACTTTTTGACTTACTCCACAACTTTCGATGCTACAAACTTCCTCCAAGTACAGACTGTTCTGCCTGTCCCAATGTGATAAGCTGTCCTCATTTAATAATTGCTTATTTGACACTAGTTGCTCTATAAAAAGATTTCCTAATGTCACTTTTCCTCATACCTGGGCTTTTGCCTGTCTGCCATTGTTAGATCAGTGATTATGTCAAGTGAAGAAGTGGAGGGCGGAATGAAGGACGAGGCAATGCGGTTTGAGGGGCAGATATTTCAGGAATGACATTTCTGACAGCCTCTTTTTCCAGCTTTCTCCAGCAACCAGAGTGTAGAAAATTCCTCCAGTTTCTGATTTCGCTGATAAGGCCAGAACTGGTAGCTTTCCTTGATGCCATTTGGTTGCGATAAGGCATGAAAAAAAGTTTGAAAACAAAAGCAGAGCCAGCCCCTCCTTCGTTAAATGGTTAAGTCCAGGAGTGGCCAGATGATTGCGGAGACACAGTCATTAAGCGGGGATGGCAGTCTCTGGAGTTATGAGACTTTTGTGTGCCTGTGCGGGGGTCACGGACAGTAAAAAGGTGGTGCTGGGAGAGGGGCGAGTGCTGCTCTTTGGCAGCAGCTGCATGCATACATGGAAAACAGATTTGGTTCTTCTCATATTTCAGTCACTGGAGGAGCCAGTCATTCTCTTTTCCAACCAGTAACAACCAACCTTGCCTCCCCCTCCACCCTGAACCCCTTAAACAAAGGGTTCAAATAAAATCAGATGCTCAGATATGCCTTCCTCATTTTTTTCCATATCTCATTTGGCCTTTGCCATATAAACCTTGACATGTCGTACGACTTGCCCAGGCACAAATCCTATCATGGCCGGAATCTTTGTTATGTTGAGTGATGACTACAGATTTCATTAGAGGCCTATTCTTGATTGAGCTGATTCAATTAGATTACATCAATGGGGCTGTTAGTCATGTTGAGCAAACAACAAACTGAGCTGTGCTCGCAGTCGATTCAGACTGCAAGATGTGCACACGACAGGACGGGCTTACTGTAAATGGTCTGCAGTCTCTAAGGGACTATATGAAAATTACAGTGGTGGTGGTGGCGTTGGGTGCTCAGCCTTATTCACCACCAAAAAAAAAAGGAAAATGGAATAAGCTTGATGCTTTTATTAATATGTTCATTGCACACTGTTACCCCCAGCCCCCCTACTCCGTACTTCTGAATATAGTGAGATTAGGCCGATTCCAGCCACCAAATGAGTGAAGCAACAAGAGGCGATAGCTTTGCACCTCCTCCCCGAATGGAAAGCACACAACCACCACCACATATTCTTTACACATGGCCAAATGCAACTCTGCAGAGCGCATGACAAGCAGGTTTCTCATGTATGCATTTGATCTTTTTGAATAATAAATCTCACAAATGCAAAATGTGAAATAGCAGAAATATGGGCCCCCCCAAAAAAGATAAAAAGACTTGTCGTTTTTTTCTGCAAGAAGTCAGACGGGAAAAAGTATAAATTACGATATTCTTGATTTTCCTGACCTTCTTTCCACTGTAATCATTTTTTATACAGTCCCTAAACCCCCTTTTTCTCTTTTTATGTGTGTTTTCCAGACCACATGAATCAGGACCAGTCCGGGTCTTCAGATTCAGAGGGCATCCTCAGGTCCAAAGCGGCCCTGTTCTCCGTCATCGGGGTCGGCTGCATCATCTTCCTCCTGCTCATCCTCCTCCTCGTTATCCTCCTCATTAAGATGCGCAAGCGGGCCAGGAAAAACGCCCACTCGCAGCCCCGCCCCTCCGCGCTGTCCCTCAGCACCCTGTCCAACCCCAAGCTGCCAGGGGGCACGGCTGGGACGGAGCCCAGCGACATCATCATTCCGCTGCGGACAGAGAACAACTACTGCCCTCACTATGAGAAGGTGAGCGGCGACTATGGCCACCCGGTCTACATCGTCCAGGAGATGCCGCCGCAGAGCCCCGCCAACATCTACTACAAAGTCTGACGCGCTTTTGCGCAGCCGGCGTCGCGGTCAGGAGATAGAAAGAGAGAGAGAGAAGGAAAAAAAAGAGAGGAGCGCTTGACTTATGTTCGTGGGAAGGACACTTTCCTTTTGCATTTTCGGGGAACTTGTTTCTTCAAGCCCGTGTTATTTCTACCACCTGCTGCACAAATCTGGAGAACCGTGCACTGACCAGTAACCAGCGGGGTTAGGAGCTGACGGATGAGAGACAGAGGTTTATTCTGTTTGTTTGGCTTGCCTGACAATCCCCACCTTCTTCCCTCCTCCTCCTCCCCCCCACTTTGCCTCACCTCCCACCTCCCGTACCGTTCTCCCAGCTGTGTTCTGACCGCGAGGAGGGTGGGTTGCGGGGGGGGGGAGACACCAACAGATGGAACTCAAACTTCGTCGTTCGCTGTCCCTTTGTGGGGACGGGATATAACTTATCTCAGTTCCCCAAAGTCTGCTCTACACCCAATTAAACACACCACCCTAGCACACTAAGGCAGGAGCAGGCAGACGCAGGCCCGAACACCGCTCGGCCTGCAGTTTGTGTGCAAGTGTTGGAAAAAAACAAACTACAAAACAAACGTGTGTGTTTGTGTGTGTGTGTGTGTGTATGCGTGCATTTCTGTGCATGTGTGCGCGCGCGTGTGTGTTAGTCGGGGCTCCGTGCTGGGCCAGGAAACTCTCCAGATAGCTCAGGTATCAGACACAGTGTGTGAAATAATGTGTTCCTCTCCCTTCGCACCTCTGATGTTTGCCTTACTATTTTTGATGGAGGATTTCCTTGAACCCCGATTCAGTTCACAAAGCAGTTGTATTTTGTTAGACTTTTCCTACAAGTGCACAATGTATAGAGTTACATAGAGCACCATTATTGCTCCATCTTCTCATCACCCATATCATCCACTGCTCCCATTTTTTTTCTTTTTTTCTTTTCCTTCCCCGTAAGGAAATACCTTGACCTGGACTGCTGATGTCAAGGTGTGTATGTGTGAGTATGTATGTTTCCAGGAATACTCCTATCTCTGCTGGCCTGATATGAGCTTTACCATTACAACTTCTCTGTGTGTGTGTTTTATCAGGGCGTGTCTTCCATTAGTGTGTTTGGACATGTCCAGACCCGTTTGGTGTCTGAGAAGCCTTATTGGCTTAGAGGTAGAACACTAGGTTACTGTTGCAAGCTTCAAAAATGACACACACAGACAGAACGACGCGCCTGCAGAGAGACAAGCCCGAGCTCTTGCAAAACCCTTTCAGTGCTCCAGTTGGCACTGATCTTTACTGTGTCTGATGAGCTTTCAGGGCGATTGTTTTTAAGACAGCAGGCAGGTTGATATTTGTTTATTCTAGCTTTTGGAGCCACAGTGTAAGCATCAAACAATTTCATGCTCGCTGCCTGGGCAAGGTGGGCGTAGGCTGGCACTGATTGGCTGGCCTACATAGGTAGGATGCCCTATATATAAGTTGGATGGAGAGCTACAGCTGAACACAGAGCTACAGTATTATCAGATGCCAATTGGCTGCCATCTGTGGATGAGTCAGTGGAGTGCACAGTTAGCGGTGTCGCCAGCGTGTGACTAATCTGTGTGCCATCTCCATGCCCACACTCACCAGCCGGGGAGCAGAGAGAGTGAGAGCGGCGGCTAGAAGAGAAAATGTTCCTGTGACTTGGCTTTAACCTGCGAGGGTGATGGCGGTGGGAACGAGGGGGTGACGGGTGAGGCGGAGGTAGCTTTTTTAGCGTTCACCCCCCTCCATCCTCTCGCCAGTTGTGCTGTGAATAAAAATGCTGCGCAAATTATTCCACAGTCAAGGTGTTCAGCCAGCGAGGACACTGCAGACCAGCTATCACACAGCCCAGGGCAGCGGCACCGAAACAGGATTTACTGCTGCTGGATGTGTGTGTGCACGCAGAGGCTCGCTGCGTGAACGTGTAGGTGCTCATATGTGTGAGTGCTTATTTGTGCTTATATTTGCAGTTTATTTCTGTACGTATGCGCACATGTGTGAGTGTGTGTAAGTGTACCCTTCTGTGGTCCAGCCTCTGAACAGACCTTTTTTTTTTGGGGGGGGGGGGGGGGGGGGGGGGGGGCTTGTGGAAGTAGGTGCTCCAAACAGTGTGGCTGCCAAAGTACAGAGTGCCGCAGTCCCGGTTAATGATGTGCGAGAGGAGAGGGGAGCAGATAAGGACAGCCATTCCTCGGCACGCAGACATGAGCTGACGTTTGACGCACATGTGCGCGCGCACACACACACACAAACACACCAAGACTGACGGGTCCAGGTTTATCTCCAGTCAAACGGTCAGGCTGCCGGTTAATGTTTATTCACCGGTAGAGACACCCATCATCCGCTGCCACATACTGTTGCCATCCACTGACAGACACTGCTGAGTTAAAAGGCAGCCCAGCTTGAAGACTCTGGGAAGACTCCAGTGGCTTTTTTTTTTTTTTGTGCGTGTCGTTAACCTCAGAGTTAACAACCTAAACAGCTGCTTGTGCTTTTGTGGTCCTGTGTTTTAACTCAGCATGCAGCCCTCAGCGGCCCTCTGCGAAACACATCTAGATCAAATATTTTTGTTTCGGATCGCCGCGCATCCGTTCACCTACACCAGCTTAGGGAGTCATTACCAAATTACCACAAACCCATATCTCATTTTCATTCATTCTAGTAAACCACTTAATGTTATTCGAGTTTTTTTTATTTTTATTTTTTTTGGGGCGGGGTGGGCGGGGTGGGAGGGGTATAAAACAGTCAATGTAAATATATGGATAGAGCCCAATTTAAGATGTAATTTCACCCGAACACTGCTCACAAGGACAAAAAAATTAAGATTAGATTTTTGTAATGGAGGATGTTTGTAAATAGCTGTCTTTTTAAAGTGTGTTTTGTATGAATCCTTGCATTTTTTTTTTTGGTTTGGTCTCTGCAACATGTTTTTATTTACTTTTTCCTTTAGAGTTAATATTGCAAAAGTTCACATGAGCTGCCTTTTTTTGTGCAGCTTTGTCCAGTATTGTCAAAATAAAGAAAAGTCTTTGTTACCACATGTGTTTTAAAAAGAAAAAAATGGGGTTCAGATTTTTATTTTATTTTATTTTTTACATTGCCATTAAACACAAATTGTACTAGAAGCTGTTCAGGACTGAAGCTTTGTCACAGAGTGGCTTTGAAAAGGATGCGTCACGCTGAAGCTGTGAGTGATAAGGCCTGTTGGAGACGGCACTTAACTCTGCATATGAAGACTGTTATTCCACTGCCTTTGAGTTACCTGCACCTTCCACTCCATTATAAGATGTAAAACACTCTAGGCCCACAAAGATGAATCTTTCCTCAGTTTTAATAAGTCTGTCGGGCCAGACTGAGAAAGAGAGAGATGTAGAGAGAGGGAGAGAAAGGAGGAGAAAAGGAGGCCATGTATGAGTGTGTGGCCGTACTGCGTTCGCCAATAAATCATCTGGTTTACACCACTCATTATCTCCCAGGCGGTCCTTTGTTTTAAAGATGCTCTCTCCTTCTCTTTCCCTCCCTCCGCCCCTCTCCTTTGTCATCACTCCCTTCCCAATTTAGCACAAGGATGCTGGTCGCTCGTGGCACGAGCCTCACTGTAGGTTGATTTCTGCTATTGTTCAAAGCCACAGTATTATTTTTCAATGTGCATGTGTAAGCAGAACCTGTTGAATTCGTTTCCCTTTGTTTGAATCACAGCTGTCGAGTTTTTGTTTTTTATTTCATTTTGCCGTTCACTTTTTTTTTCTGCAGCTTCTCAGCATAACCTGTTGGCACCAGCTACAATGGAAATAACGTTCCACCAGTTTGGAAACTACCGCATATTGATAAATAAAATTTTTCCCATGGAACTTGGTCTGGAGTGATGTTTTTTCTTTTCATTTTGTCATCCCCCCTTCTTCAAAGCCTTATGAATGTGGGCAAAAGATTTAATTTGCCTTCCCACTGACCACCTTCGTACATGGTGGGAGCACAAACCAGTCGCCCACGCTCGAAGCATTTCCCCCTCACTGCCCCCTCCTCTCCAAACCCCTCCAAAAACCCTCACCTCAGGGGTCAGTGCTGCACAGATGGGTTTGTTCTGATACATTAGTCAGATTGAAATCACAAGCAGGCTTCATAAATTCATATTCGGGGAGTATGGACACGCCTTTTTGCATAGTAACTAATATCCATATCAACCCGCTCTGCCCCAGTGTCCTCCAGAATTACATTTCTTCATACATGATTACATCTGATTGGCTGCACTCGGCATTTCCATTGCGTTTGTCTGAAATTACAGTCCCCATTTATCCGACTGAGGAGCAAACTCCAAGTCCTTGGTGAAAGTGGAGATGGCATGAAATGCTATTAAAGTGATTGGGCATTTTCTCTGACAAACACATCAGTGTTTGTGGGCATGGCTTTCGTTGTGGCTGATGATGTGAGCAGAGACAGAGTGGGCGAGTGAAGAGACTGATGGCAGAAGAAAAAAAAAGTCAGGGCAATGAGAGGCTTAATGTGCCTGTGGCTTCACTCCCCCCCCCATGCACATGCACACACACACACCATAGCCCTTCACTTCAGTCCACCCACCCAACCCTTGCTGTTTCCTTCTGTGCCCGAGGGCAGGTACATTCATCTGGTTTCCTGGCTCGGTCCCGAGACACCCCCGTAGATCCATGTTACTGTGGGTTTATTAAATCCTTCCCCCCACTGAGCTACTGTGTGTGACTGCATGTTTTTTCTGTGTATGTCTCTGTGTTTGTGACTCTGCAAGTGTGTGTTTGTGTGTGTGTGTGCACGGATTTGCCACGGGGGTTCTTCTGTTGTTTTCACTAACACACACACACACGAAAAAAAATCCTAGGGAAAAAATAGCATTGCAGCGTGCACTGCAGCATTTTTCCTCGTCATTCCTTAAATCAAATATTAGCCTCGTGTCCTCGCTGCATATGTTGCTGCAGCATTAGGAGACTCTCTGGCAGCATACAGTGGTTGTAGTGTGCAGTAATTCATCCTTTTGATTGCATCTCGGTATTGTCTATTTACTTGTCAGCAGCTGAACCCCGTCCTCACGAGTTCCCACTTGATGTAAGTATGTGCATGTCTTATGTTTTTTAATCGTGTAGCATGGCGGCTGGAACATCTTTATAGATGAAACAAGTCACCTGGGAAAGCAGAAACTGCCAGCAGCTTGTGGTGGCTTGGGAACAATTTAACTTACATATTCATCCATGACCATGAATACTAATTCAGAAGAAGACTTCCAAGGAAGATTTTTCTTTTTGACTGTGGAAAAGATTTGAATTATTGGAGAGTCTAACGTCACACTTAGTCAGCAAGCCCAACAAGCAAACTCACGTCTTATTTGTGAAATGGAGTTAAACTTTATTTTCAGGCTGACAAAAAAAATGCATTAAGAAATTCACAGCGTGTGGCCACCATACTAATTATTGTCACCAGTGATGTAAACTAAACAAGAGCAGGGTCTTTTAAGGTGAAGAAGCAATGCTTAATGGTTTTTTTTTCTCCCTTTGCACTAAGTAATTTATTTTCAGTTCTGCTGGTGGTTATCTCCCTCAGATTTTTATCATTTCGCTCACTACGTCGCTGTCTACTAGGCAAGCCTTTTGCAGTTCTGACAAGGCCACGAAGCCACAGATGGAAAAATAAAGTTGGAGAAGAAAAGCGACACCGCGCCAGATGATGGAAAGAATTTAGGAACATTGGTGCGATTCCTCAAACGGTGTAAGCTGGCACCGCATCTTAGTCCCCCCCCCCTCACGTTATTTCACACAATCCGCTCGCTCACAAAATCCGCTGCGCGTGCAGATGCTACCCTTGATCTGGTGAAGCAAGTGAGTTCAGAACTCTGCAACTTTTTGACTGTGACCGGGGGATCCAGAGGGAAAGGCGGTCAATAGAGCTCTTAAGTGATTTTGGTGTGCGATCTCTTAATGTTTTTTCATAGGGATCATACAGAAGACTCGTAACTCACACCAGAATCAATATGACATGCAATGGGACATGTTCTTTCTCATGTAATGTACATATACATATTTAATGACTTAATGCATCACTCGCCATTCATAAATAATGCAGGCCTTCTAATGCCTTTCATCACATGCTGCTCATCAAATATCAAGCAGATTTTTGCTCAATCTCAGAGTTACGGAGGAAACCTGAGATGGCACAAAGAAAGGGGAAACCGAGAGGGGAGGGGAAGGGGAGACATGAAAAGAGAGTTCATTAGTCAAACAGTAACATTTAGATCATTCATGAAAGGGCTCATTAATGTGATTCAAATTCCAATCAGTGGGGGGAACTGTGTCTAAACAACATTCCTCTTTAATCCCTTGGAGGGGCAGGAAACGGAAATTCCACTAAAGCATCTTGGTTCTTAAGGGTTATAGTATGTTTCTATTTTATGCTTCACTATAAACACACGTTCACATATGCACAGACACACACACATGCACAAGCACAGCCGTCAGCCACATATTGATGGCATTGTTATGACCAGAACATGCCTGATCAGGCCTGGGCCGTGGCAGGGATCCAGGTCTAACCGAGACTCATCAATCATACAGAGTGAGGGAACCAAAGAGACTTGTATGCATTAAAAAAAAAGAAAAAACCTGGAGAAATAGCTGGGGCCGCTTGGCTGCTGGGTCACAGGTGTGGAGAGCAAGGGAGAAAGTGGGAATTATTCCCTTTCTTTCTTTCCCTCCTCTCCCCTTTAAAGAGAAACGGCTCTTTTTCTCCCTGTGCCGCCCTCCCATGTCTTTGAAAACGCCATTTCCATCCACATTTTCTTCTCCCAATTTAAAACCCACACTTCATTTGCCCCCTCAGCATCAACACCCCTCTCCTCCTCCATCTCCTACTCTCAATTAGGCCATGCCTCGAATCTCAGGCATTATCTCTGCTGGCCATTTATATAACATGACTCCAAAACGCATTTGCACAATTTTCCAATTACAGTATTATGCCTTGAAGCTTTGGTTCGTTCTGTCTCTCTCATTTCCCCCCTTTTCACTCAAACCACTCTTGATGTGTACCACTACAAAAGAGTCACCCCTGCAAATACAGA